TCATAAGTTAACAAATATAAAAATGTCCCAGTTCATACAGAGTGGTCACATTAAATAATGTGAATTGCTGACTGGATGTCAGAATTTAAGTAATTTCTACCTTAGACCGAGTATCAGGGTACTCAGTAGAGTACCTAGATACTAGAGTACCTTTCTTAGTAGAGGCAGATCCTAGTTTATCATTGGGTTGTTGTTATTTTCAAGCATTGACTGTAAGTCTGGAGCAGTGGTCCCCAACCTTTTTGGCACTAGGGACTGGTCTCATGGAAGACAATTTTTCTACAGACTGGTGGGTGGGTGCGGGTGGGGGGTGGTGCCAGGGCTCAGGCGGCCATGCTGATGCAAGCGATGGTGAGGAGAGTGGCTACAGATACAGATGCAGCTTCACTCTGTTGCCCTCCGTGCGCCTCCTGCTATGTGCTCCCCCTTCCTAAGTTTCATGGAAGACAGTTTTTCCACGAGGGGTGGGGGGCAGAGCTCTGCGGCCCAGTCCCTAACAGGCCACGGACTGGTATTGGTCTGCACACCTTTGCATTCCTGTGTTGGTGTCGGTGAAGCTATTTGACCTCAAAAGCCCCTGTACTAATAGTGCTAAGAAACCTAACTGCCGCGTGTACCACTGTTTTCACAGGGGGAGGCTGTACTTACTGCTCCAGTTTGTCACATCAGAAGCACATTTTCCACCTCACCGGCTCAGGGAAATCCTTTCTCTTACCACTTAGGTAGACTGACTTCTCTAGTGACTCAGGCCAAGGCAGAGGGTCCTGGAGGACCCAGCCATGATGACAAAGGTGGGATGTGGGCCTGCGTAGACTTTCCACTAGCTGAGCCCTAAGACCTTTCTTAGACCACATTACTTTCTGATTATGTTTTTTTCTTAACCTCAAAGGTTAGCCTGCCTGCTTCCTTTCCCCCTGCCCCTACTTACTGCATCTCCCCAAGAGCTAAGCACACCATCTTGTCCTCTTTCTTTCCTCCACTTAGACCTGCTTGGGGCATATGGCTGATGCATGTGCAGTGCAGGTTCCTGAGTCCAGCCTTATACTATCGGATCAGAGTCTCTGAGTGATAATCCAGTGACAGGCATGTTTTTAACTTTTTATTATGGAAAGCTACAAACATAGCCAAACAGAGACCGTGCTACAGTTCGCCCTGGTGTGCCTGTTCGCCAGCCGTATGACCATCGTCAGTCCTTGAGCCATTCCTGCTCCGTCTGTGGCCCCGCTTCCTGTCAACCCTCATGATCTGGAAACAAGGCAGATACCTTTTTTCCCCTGTGAATAAATCGCTCTGTGCATTTTTCTCCCAGCTTTTTATTTTTGAAAAGTTTTGGATCTAAAGGGAAAAATGTAATAGTGAATAACCTCTATACCCTTTACTTGGATTCTGCAGTTTTGTCTGATTTATTTCTCTGTGTGTGTATCTTACCTATTTTTTTGTTGCTGAACCACTTGAAAGTAAGTCGGGGTATCATGACAGTTCATTTCTGATACTTTAGCTTGTTTCCCCTAAGAACAGGGACATTCTCTTGTATAATGACAATACAGTTATCGCATTTTGGAAATTTTCCTAAAGAGTCTAGGCCGTTTGTTTAACAGAATATCCTTACATTTAGATTTGTCTTACTGTTCTATCATGACTAGTTTCAAATGACATATTTTTAGCAGGAATACTATGTAGGGGATATGTTCTTCTTGGGACATCACACATGCAAGTTTGTTCACTATTGGCAATATTAAGTGGGTCACCTGGTTAAGGTAGTTTTGCCAGAGCTTCCCATTGTAAGGGCACCTTTGCCCCTTTGTAATTAGCCATACATTGATGATTCTTACCTGAATCAATTATTACAGTGGTGGTTTATCTAAAGAAAGATTCGTCTGTACTTAAGTAGGATACCCAGTCTTAGTTTTCTGGGCATTTTGTTGTTAGAACAGGGGTGGGCAGAAGTAGGGAAGTGAGAGGCTAGGAATATGTTATTCCTGTGAGCTCAGAGGCATGGAAAGTAGCTTCTGTGTGTTTGAGGTGGTCGTGAAGGGTGGTCCTAGTCATACTCTTCGTGTCACGTGTTGATCTAGCCCTACAGTGGGACTACAAGGAATTGTGGTCAGGGAACATGACGAAGGCCCTAGCATTGGGGCTCTGATGGAATGGTGAGTTCTTGTGGCTGCTTGCCTAGAGCTGTACTGTCCAGTTGGCCTTTGGAGATACGAGATGTATAGCTGCTTCTATACATTAGAGACTGCTCCTGTGTGCTCCTGGCTGTGTAACTGTCAGAATAGTCTGCAGTCAGGGCCGTTACTATCTTGAATCATGATCAGATTTGCTTCTGACAGAGGTTCTCTTTTTCAGTGGGTGAATTTGTAAGCGATGTTCTGCTAGTTCCAGAAAAGTGCCAGTTTTTCCACAAAGAGCGGATGGAGGTGTGTGAGAATCACCAGCACTGGCACACCGTAGT